TTGTGACCTCCCTCGACATGGGCCGCATCCCACCTTCCACATATGGTCACCAGTGGGGAGGATGGTGAGGGGCCACGGGTAGTGAGGGGATCATGGTCCCATCCATCAGTGAATGCCTATTCCTGGTCTGATGTGACTTCAGCACGTCACCTGGAGGCAAGGACACCATCTGGAAAGGTGGGCTGTGGGAGCAGTGGTCTTAAGTGCCTTCTGCAGAGAGAGAGGGATGCCACCCCAAGGGCGGCTGGCACGGGGCACGGAACCCGCAGAAGGCGCGGGGAGCCTTCCTGAGTGTCAGTGTTGGGGTGCTGCCACCCCTCACCCTCAGGCGCTCAGAGGCAGAGCCAGCTGGAATGCTGGGGGAGAGCGGAGGTTCAGGTCCAAGGGCCCACAGCTCTGAACTTGTCCGACATCACAGTCACCCAAAACCAGCATGGTAGCTTCATTCTGGCCAGTAAAAGCTATGAGCTCACAGAGTTGCCTTCTTGGAACGGGCTGGCCACAGAATCCCAGGGCAACCCCATAGCCGAGGGGATGAAGTGAGCCAAGGCCCTGTCAGGGAGAACAGCCCCGGCCGGTGGCAGGGTTTAGACAGTGATGGTACCGAGTCGAGAGCTTCTGGAACCAGGCGGGGGGTATCTGCCCAGACCACTCAGCAGCCCCACAGCCCAAGGACCAGGGGAGAGTTAGAAGTAAATGTGAAGAATTCACTCTGAAGAAGGGGTAGGAGACCCTGTGTGTGTGTATACACATGTGTGCACACGCATGCGTGCAAAGGGCCAGAGAGGGGCTATTTCAGGTTCTGCAGGCTGCATTGTCCCTGGCAGACACTCCATTCTACCGTGGAGAGGGGAAGCAGCCCCAGGTCATATGTAACCATGGGCATGGTCACGTGCTAAGAAAACTATTTACAGAAACAGGCAACAAACTGAATTTGGCTCCTGCTTGCAGTCTGTGAAACTCTGCCGTCAATCACGCGGCAGAGGGACTGGGACAGAGGTTTTCCTTGCATGGTCCGAAGGTGGTGACACTGCGATTACAAGATTCAATGATCAGTGCTTTCGTTGTTTGTTGTCCATGGCCAGAGTCACTTCTCCAGAGCTTGTCATTCTGTCCTACCACTAGCCATTCTGTCCATCTCCCTTCGGCCTTGCCAAGCACATGTTTTATCCAGTTTTGGATTTCTGCCAATCTGATGGGCGAGTGGTAGCTCCGTATGACTTTACCCAGCATGCTTTAAGGGGACTGAACATCCATTTGTTTTCTTGTCTGTAAGTCCCCGGCCCCCAGCTGTTTCCCTGTTGGACTTTCCTTCCTGATTTACGAAGTCGTATTTGTTGGATACATTGACCTATAAAAGCCAGCCAGGTCAAGGTGTGGTGTGAAGGTCTGGGAGACTGAGTAGCCAGGCCAGTGGCGCTGTCCAGCAGGCAACTGGAAATACAGACATGGAACCCAACCGAGAGTCTGGGACTGGAGAAATAAACTTGGAAATAATCCGTAGAGATACTTATAACAATGAGATGGAGAGATCGCCTAGGAAAAGAGTAATAGAGGAGAGGTGGTAAAAAGGGAGCCCGGGAGCTTCCCAGCATTTAGAAGTTGAGGACAAGAAGACCACCAGACAGACGAACGGACAAGGAGCTTCAGGTAAAGCAGGGAAGAAAGCAAAGGGCACAGAGAAAATGCTTCAGGGAGAGAGGAGACTGTCCAATGCTTTTAGAGACTGAGGGAGAGGAGACATTTTGATGGGGACTCGTCACTGGGCTTGACAACATGGAGACTGTTGGTGACCTTGTCAGGCATAGTTGCAGTGCAATGGCAGGAACACATGCCTCATCTCCCAGAAAGGACTCCCAGTGGCTTCTGAGCTGAGGGTGAGTCAACGTCTGAGGTCACAAATGGGAAGATCTTCCAGAGCAGCCGTGTGCCTTCCTTGCGCCATATATAGCTGGTCAGCCATGGGCAAAGCCAAGACAGAAAGACACTCAGCCAGAGCTGTTGTCCTGCCGCACAAGCACCAAGGGGTCAGTTGAGGACCCAGGGCTGACAGGCCAAGGAGGAGAGAGGACATGAGGAGAGTCCCTCCACAGCCCGTAAAGGCAAGGCCATGCCCCGGAGGTGGAGGTGTGGCCAAAGCTGCCTTTGTTAGCTGCGTAGGAACTTGTGCAAGAAACCGCCCAGCCTCTTCTGAAGGATTTCCACCCAAGCTTGGTGTTCTGTAGCTCATCAAAAGCAAGCACAAGGAGCCTGGGCAAACGTTTCGTAAATTTTATTCTTGGGTTTACAACAGTTCAAGATGACAGAAGCCCATTACCGACGGGTAGGCCACACCACACAGAGAGCATAAGGCAAGAGAGCCCTGTGACCAGACCCACTGAACCACTCCGTTGGCGACCTCATGGAGAGTCTGTGCTGTGGGAGTTTTTTTTTTTTTTTTTTAATGTCTCCCAGAAGATACATTACCACACGTTTTTATTTAACTAGGTTCTGAGAAACTTGACTTTTGAAAGAAATGGTTGGTGGGCAAGAATAGAAAAAATGACTTAAAAATGTTTAAATAAAGTGCCCAATAAATCAGTGAAAGAAGAATTTTGGAAAACAGGAGTTTTTATATGGTATAAAAATAAATACTGTTAATTTACATTACATAAGGCTGAAAATAAATTATTTTATGGATAAATTTTAAAAATCATCTTACTGGTTACATACTATATGAAGGCTTTCAAAAGACTGGTAGTAATTTTTAAAGGAATTTGTATCCTTTTACAGTCTGTTAATCTGTGACTGATCTTCCCATTTTCGTGCCCTCCCCATTACATGCCTTTTAGACATTTTGCTGGTCTAACCAAGGTTGCATTGCAAAAGCAAACGGACACAAGTTCAGTTCAGTCCTCCTAATTACCACCCCTGGCAAACAGCAAGCTCTGGGGAGGGTGGTGGCAATTTGATATTCTATGAAATAAGTCATTGCTCTTCATTCTGAAGCTCCTGTTATAAATGTTTTCGTGGTTTGAGTTCTTTGATCTTGGGAATATGGGGGATAGAGCTGGCCGTGCTCACCCTCAGACGCATCGCACCGCGGCCTCCGTCTGATGTGAACGATGTGCACTACTCCATTGGACTTTTGCAAACCTCGTTTCTCCAATTGGCTTCTTTGTAGTTAATCAGGTGGGTTCTCCTGGGGCGCACAGGGCTATGGATGTGTCCCAGAAAGGGCACTGACCTGGAATTCAGGGAGGTGACAGCTGGTCACTTAGCAGTGTCTGACCTAGGTCACAGGTCTGGTTGTGAGGACTGGGCGGCCCATCTTTAAAAGTGCTTTGGAATACAGAATGCACCAGATAAAGTTGTTAGCTCAACCTTAAAAACTGTGGCCTGCTCTCCAATTTTTTTCCCTAGGTTAAAAAAAAAATCAATAGAAATAATTGAGAAATGTAATTGTATATGAATCATAGAGCCCAAATGTAAATAATTTACAAATGCTTTACAATAAAATCAAAGATATTATCCATGGATTTAAAAAAATTAATCCATGGATTTTTTTAAAATAAAAATCTTTGCAGCTAAATATTCATCAACTTAAATTTAATCATTCTTTCTTTTATAAGAATGTTCTCTATATGATATCATAACTCTCCAAGGGAGAAATTCCATAATTAGTTCAGTTCTCTGCCTTAAAACCTTCATTATAAGACAGAAGAATGGAATAATTAAAGTTTAAAAATAAGCAAAAATATATACCTCTAAACCACAGCCCCCTTATTTTAAAGAGCTTAACAAGAATACTTCCCCAATATATTTTTAAACAACCTACTATTTATATAATAATGCTAACTCACAACTTAAGCCACGATGATCATCAAAGTTATGTGCCTTTTTATTCCCTCAACAGTTTAATAATTTAATTATTAAATAATGGTCTTGAGAGATTGCACTGCAGTTAAAGCCCAAACTGTATGTGAAATAAAAATGCTCATCTACGGAATAACTAAGGTGCTGGCTAAGTGGTTAGACCATAGCTGAGAGTTTTAGAAAAATACTGGAATAATACAGCAGTGTCCCTAAGGTCCCTGTGGAAATAAGCCCATGCTGACAGGTGCATGGGGGCTCGAGTGCTTGGTGAGTAACCCAACTTCCCCTTGAGCCTCTTGAAAAGGGCAAAGGAACCCCTTGCCAATCTTGGATCTATATCAGGATTATATTAAATAATATCTCTCGTTTTGAAATAAGAAGAAACCACTAATTACAATGTAGGTAACAAATACTGAATTCAGCAGCAAAGTGTTGGGATCAAACGGCAGGAGCCTCAATAAACTGTGCTGAAGGACACCTCTATACCCATGGCTCAAGAGCACTGGGATCTTGACGGTCGACTACTGGCACTGGAGTTCATCAAAAGCTTCTCTCATTTCTCTCTCTCTCACACAACTGCTCATGCCATCTTGTGTCTACAGATGCAGCTCAAGTTATCTTCCATTTTTCACTGTTTTCTGAGAAAGATCAACAAATCAGTGATCAAAAATGGCCAACTGCTCTCATGAAAGACCTCTCAAGAGCATTCCTTGTTTAAAGGGGAGCCTGCCGAGAGCTTGCAGAGTTGAAATTAAATTAGTGTTGGCACAGGGTCATTTCAGATGCAGGTAAAAGCAAATTTATCTTATGCTCAGCAGAACATATTTAGGTCAGTTTAGGAGCAGGTAATTGGTAAATTTATCCTCAGCTAGCACAGAGGCGGGCGTAATTCAGATGATTAAAAGCCTGGTGGGTGCCCTTCGATTCACGGTATGCTTTGAAGTACAGCACATCTGCCAGACAGAGGCAGAGCTAGGGCTATTTCCTCTGACTTTGCCTTAAAACTTAAACAGTAATAAAAGTACCTTTCTGCTATGTCTGTGGTTTCAAAATTATTCATTGTAAACATTCTATAATATATATATATACACACACATATATATATTCTTTCCTATTTAATTTCAGAGCTTGAGTTTGTATCTAGGTCTATGTCAAATTATTTATTCTACAAAAAGCAGCACAAATACTGTTCATTCTGGTTTCAGGACAAATTCCTTAAAAAAAAGTTAAGGCCATTTAATTGAATCAGGGCCAACTGAAGATTACCCTGGCAGAAGTCAAACTAGTGGCGTAAGAGTTTTGGAAAAGAGCCAGAAGTGGTCATCTTGGGTGCTCCTCCTGGGTGACTTGAGAGCAGCAGGTAGGATTTATTAGTCTCCGACATCGCCATCTCGGTCCCCAATGAGCCACAGGAAATGGAAACTCAGGGCTAACAGAGCTGTGCCCAGCAGGTCGCCCAGCGCCGTCAGGTAGGGGATGGAGAAGCTGTCCGGGTCCTTTCCCTTCCTCCAGAAGCGGTGCACCATCCAGTCGGCGATCCACAGCAAGGTGAACACCTGGGGGAGACGCAGAGGTGACTCCCCCGCCCGGACACCCCACCCCAACAGGCTCGGAGCCCAGGCCGCTGGCCTTGAGAGGAACATTAGGTGTCCTGAAAGGAAGAGATAATTAACCAACAGGATATTTTTCTTTCAGAAGGAAGAACAGCATGTGTGTCCGCGGTTCTTCACATTTTCTTAAACTTTCACGTGTCCTCTCATTTCAGCCAACCTTCTGTCACCGCAATGGTCACAGTTTTAATAGCATCAGACAATCTCTAAACCACTCTTAGGTTTCAATTTTTTTTTCTCTAGAAGAAGGACTAAGACATGAAGAGAATAAAAGTTAAAATAAGAAATTATCCCAGGCATACCAAAGGAGATGAAGATGGAAAGCTGACCATTTATGAATGATCAGAAGTCACTTGTGGCTTGAGAAGGACAACTTCAGCGCCAGGGTAAGAACCGTGACCAGGAGGTGAGAGCTCGGAGTGACACACATGGCGATGAGTATTCTACAGGGCCATGCGGACACCAAGGTGATACGTGTGAGTATCTTTTAGACTATCAAACCTACGGAACGCTTTGGGGGGCACTGAATTTGGGGACATCAGTATTTTTTCTTTGATCCATTTAGAGAAGGAGGATTCTCTATCTTCAAAACCCTGAGGCAGTAAAAGGAACCCAGGATGGGGATGGTTGTGGACAAGCCGGCCAGGGCAGCCCAGGGCGCTTTCCCTGCTGCACTCCTTCCTCCAGCACTTACTACCGGGCCACAGGCAAGCTTCTTCACCTTCCTGTTTCTCCAAATGCACATTAGGAATGACAATGGCACGGAAGTCATGAAAATGTTGTAAAGATTAAATAGTAGACTAAATAATTTGGTGCCTGAGACAATAAATTTTGAGTAAATTAACAGTATCCATATCATTACTACTTTTGTCCCTGCAGCCTTGAGAACACCTGGTGTGTCAGCAGGAAGGCCACCCTAGGTCATGCCGACAGCTGGTACCTTTCACTATTTTGGCAAATAGGTGGCCATGGAGTGAGGCATCTGCCTTAGGTCCCAAATGCCGAGTGCTGTAAGTTCAGCTCTGACACCTTTACCACAGAGTAGCCTACCCGGGGGAGACAGGTGCCAGCTCCAAATGAGTGGACTTCAGATGCCCTGCACATCTGTCAGAGGCTGTGCTTTAACCCCACTGTCTTTTGCATGAGGCTGAGCTTCACTAGTGTTTCCACGGCAAAGGCTGCTTTGAAGTCATGAAAAGTTTCATCAAGCCACTCTGGGAGTTAAAGGGCATGGAATATTAAAAAGAATCCTGAACTTGGACATTATCAGATTTGGATTTGATTCTCAGTTTTTTCTTTGGGTAATTTCTTACCACTCTCAAATTTCTCATTTGAAAAAAACAAACACAATAGGACCTAATATCTGTTCAACTGACTTTGGAACCATCAACAAGAGCCTTGGTTTCGGGGATGCAGGGTAAGGGGAAACGGCAGAGTAATGTCACATCCAAGAGTGCAAGAGAATACAGACAGACAATATAAAGAGAGGAGGAAAATTCACCATCAAATTAACACAAATCATAAAAAAAACCCAATCAGAAGTCTTGGACCTAACAACTTCAATGAAATGAAATATACATGAGAACTCCCCTAATGGATTAGAACAGGCAGAAGAAAGAATTTCTGAACTTGAGATGGGTCTTATGAATTAACCCAGTCACAACAAAAAGAAATGAAGAATGAAGAAAGCCTGCAAGACTTACAGAACACAATTAAGCAAACAAATATCCCACAAGGTAAAGAAAAGGGGAAAGCTATGGAAAAACTATTTCATGAAATAGCCAAAAATTTTCCAAATCTTCAAAGAGATACAGACATCTAGATTCAAGCAGCTCAAAGGACCCCATCTAGATTCAACTAAAATAGACCTTCACCAAAATGCACATTATAGTAAAAATGTCAGAGCACAAGAAAAGATCAAGAGAAAAACATCAAATTATGTGTATGGGAAGATCCAGTAGACTTAAAGCAGATTTCTCAGCAGAATCTTACAGGCCAGAATACAATGGGATAAAACATTTAAAATACTGGGGGGGGGGAGCTGCTAACCAAGAATACTATTCCCAGAAAAACTATTCTTCAAAACTGAAGAAGAAATAGAGCAGAAACTGAAGGATTTAATCACCACCAGACCCAACCTACAAGAAATACTTAAGGACGTCCTACATTAGAAATGAAAGAATAACTGTCATCGTGAACACATGAATGCATAAAATTCTGTAGAAGACATAAGAGAACCAAACTTTTGCATTATAGAAAACTATCAGATCACATAAATAAAGATAGAAGAGGTAGAGAAGAACAAAAACTCTACAGAGCAAGCAGAATATAATTAACAAACTGACAGGAAGAAGTTTATACTTTCATTTGTATAAACTTTCAAGTTTATACAAATGAAAGTCTGAATGTAAATGAATTAAATTCACCAATCAAAAGACATAAACTGGCAAATGGAATTTAAAAAGGCGGGGGGCAAACGTATGCTTTCTACAAAAAAACTCACTTCACTGTTCAAAAGATGATATATGTAAACAGAAGCCAAAAACAAGCAGGAGTAGCTATACTCAGATAAGGCAAACCTTAAATCAAAACCTGTAAAGCATTGGGTGTGGAGGCACATGCCTGTAATCCCAGTGGCTTAGAAGGCTAAGGCAGAAGGATCACAAGTTTGAGGCCAGCCTCAACAATTTAGGCCTTATGCAACTTACTGGGGATGTAGCTCAGGGGGCGAGCACCCCTAAGTTCAATCCCAGGTACCAAACAATCCTATAAAGACAGACAAATATATTGTTAAATAATCAATTCAGCAAGATTTAACAACTTTAAATATACATGCACCTAACACAGGATGACCCAACTACATAAAACAAATATTAGTAGATCTAAAGTAAGAGATAGATTCTAATACAAAAACAATGGGGGACTTTAACACAGTGGTTTCCTCAATGGACATATCATGCAGGTATAAAATCAACAAAGAAACATCAACTTGAACCTTACTACAGAGCAAATGGACCTAACAGACGTTGACAGAGCACTTTGTCTAACAGCAGCAGAATACCTGTTCTTCTCATCAGCACATAGAACATTCTCCAGGACAGGTCCTATGCTAGGCCTCAGTCAAGTCTCAAAAAATTCAAAAAGGACAAATCACATCATGTGTCTTCTCAGACTATACTTGAATAAAACTACAAATCAAGAAGAATGGAAAGTACACAAATACACAGAAATTGAATAACATGTTCTTAAATGACCAAGGGAAACTGAGGAAAAGGAATTTAAAAGTATCTAGAAACTAATGAAAATAACACAACATATTAAAAATCTGTGGGATAAGGAAAAGCAGTACTGACAGGGAAGTTTACAGCAATAAATTAAAAACAAAGAGCTCAAACAACCTAATAATGCACCTCAAAGAGTTGGGAAAAAGAACAAATAAAACCCCCAATTAATAGAAGGAAAGAAATAATGAAAATCAGAGCATAAATAAGCCAAAATTAAAAAAAATACAAAAAAAAGATCAAAACAAAGAATTGGGTTTTTTTGAAATGATAAAAGCTAGATTAACTAAAAAAATTCCAGATAAACAAAATTAGAGATGAAAGAGGTGATATTGTAACTGATAACCACAGAAAAAGATCAAAAGAAACTATTATGAATATTATATGCTACAAATTGGAAAACCTAAAATGGATAAATTTTTGAACAACATGCAACTTATCAAAACTGAGTCAAGAAGAAATTGAAAAATCTAAGCGGACCAATAAAGATTTAGAATGAAGCAGTAATTAAAAATCTCTCATCTAAAAAGTCTAGGACCTGCTGGCTTTACTACCGAATTCTATAAAATTTTTAAACAAGAACTAATTAAAATAGTCTTAAAACTATTCTAAAAATCTAAATTGAAGGGAATTCTGCCAAATTCTTTTTATAAGGACAGCATTATCATGATGCCAAAACTGAAAAAAAGATAAAGCAAAAAAAGAAAAATACAGACTTATATCCCTGATGAAAAAAATTCTCAAAATACCAGTAAACAGAATTCAACAGCACATCCAAAAGATCATGTGGTATGATCAGGTGGAATTCATCCCTAGAATGCAAGGATGGTTTTATATACACAAATCAATAAATGTGATACAGCACAGCAACAGAATGAAGGACAAAACCACATGGTCTTTTTCATACACAGAGAATACTTCATTTATACTTCATGATAAATATGCTCAACGAAATTGGGTATAGAAGGAAAATACCCCAAACACTATTTGAAAGACCTTTAGCCTGTATCATACACAATGAGGAAAAGTGTTTCCTCTAAGATTAGAAATGAGACAGATATCCATTTTTCCTATTCTTACAGTGTTGGAAGTCAGCAAGAGCAATGAGGCAAGAGAAAGAAAGAAAGGGCATCCAATTTGGAAAGGAGGAAGTTTAAGTATCCATGTTTGCAGATGACACGATTCGATACACAGGAAAACCCAAACATTCCATCAATAAAATTGTTAAAATTTATAAATGAATTCAGTAGTTGCTAGACACAAAATCAACATACAAAAAGCAATACCATTCTGCACATCAATAATGAACCTGATTGCCAGGTGCAGAGGCACACACCTGTAATCCCAGCAACTTGGGAGGCTGAGGCAGGAGGATCTTAACTTCAAGCCCATCACTGGCAATTAAGTGAGACCCTGTCTCAAAATATAAAAATAAAGGGCTGGCAATTTGTCACTCAGTGGTAGAGCACCCCTGGCTTTAATCCCCAGTACCATAAAAATAAGTAAATATATAAACATGGTGTTACAAAAACTGAACTTTCTGAAAAATAAATTAAGACAGCAATCCCATTCACAATAACTACAAAAATATTTAGCAATAAACTTAGCCAAAGAAATAAAAGATCTCTAAAATGAAAATTATAAAACAATGAAGCAAATTATAGA